ATATATAATTAAGAAGTATAATTCTTTTTTATGGGATCAATTAATTTAAAAAATAAAATAAAATTTCTAATTATAACTTTATATTTAAGATAGAATCAAATCTCAATTTTTAATTAAGAAATTAAAACATAAGTATAAGCATCGGATATATGTGGTGACAACTTTCGATGCTATTGCAATTTTAAAAGAAGGATAACAATTAACAAGAGAAATAAAAAGGAGAAGTGCATCCTCTAATGTTCATTTTTGCACGATAGAAAAAATGTAAATCCTAATCTTCCTAAAGACTACAAGGCACCTTGGAGACTTTGATCTCGCTCATTGAAGTAATTGCCACCAGATCCGCTGAAAATTTATCATTAAACTAGTATATTACCCATGCCTTACACAATAAACTTAAAGTAAAAATAACTTAAAACATAAATGTCAAATAACATTTCCTTTAAAATTTAATAAAAAGATACTATCATAAAGTATTTAATAAAATATGAATATATATATATATATATATATAATGAAAAATATTTCATTTATAAATAGATATAATGTAAAAGAATTAATAATTAAAATATAAGTAATAAAAAAATATAATATTTGGTTTCTTTAGAATGAGTATTTTATACCATATTTTAACATGAAAATTTATAACATATTTTTAACTTCTATGTAAAAGAAATCAAATATTGTTCATTTTTACCCTAGTCAAAATTTGTTAACAAGTTTTATCTTATACATGAAGAGTAAATGTTAAGTAAATGACTGTATAATTTTTATTGAAAAATGTTTACTATATTTAAAAATATGTAATATTTATTTTTAAATGATTAAAATTTCAACTCTTATATATCAAACACAAACTTCTATCTTGTATAAGAGTGTTTTTAGGAACTATTTTTAATAAGAGAATTTATAAAGATTCTTTAAACTTCATATTTAATTTGATTTTTATTTATTTTAATAATTTATGAATTAAATATTAATATTTAAAATAAATTATTAATAAATAAAAATAATTTGTTTAAAAATATCTATTTTTATAAATTTTAAATATAATTTATATATTTAAATACAATATTTATTTTTATATATAATTTATTATAAATTTAAATTATATAATAAATATGCATGTACATTATATAAGAAAGAGACAAACCAAAAGAAGTGCTGCATTTAATAAAAAGATAAAACGTACAGAGTAAGAAATATAATAAATACTAGTCCTGAGAATTTAAGAAGAATTAATGACACAATTAAAAAGTATATCATCTGACTGTCAAAATTCACGTGACAAAAGTCAAAAGGTTAGAATTTACACGGTAAAAATGCTAGACAGGTCCTTTTATGTGTATGTATAGATTAGACTGGTGTCCAAATCACCAAAGATACTTGAACAGGAGAAGAGATAATTTAAAAGTGATTATGCTTAATGTAAGGACTTTTCGGTACGTGTATATTTTAGCTGTCATCCCACATTCTATTAACCACTCCTCCTGTTCGTCTTTGACTAGGACAACAAAGTCATGAACATCTATCTGCATGTGAACACACTTCAAAATTTCTTGTTTTATCCATCATATGGTTGCTTGAAAAAAGCTGGAGCTCATCCATTCCATATTCATAGCATTTTCTGCAAGATCTTGCAATTGCAGATAGATGGAACATGACAGTTAGACCTTGTTCGCATCTTTAAATATCTCTTCTTCTCTCGATAGATAAGGAGCAAGTGCCACGCAGCATAACCTGCATACCTCCACTCTCCAGTAAAAACTATTCAGCATGCCTTCAACTTGAATAAAAAATAAAACTCCCAGTGTACCAAAATCAAAGTACTACATCCACAGAAAACAGAAGATTACATATCTTTCCCTCTATGCAAACACTTTCCTGAGAAACACTATTGGGATGTAGGCTCTTCTTTGCCTTCCTATAATGTTCTGCTTCAGCATATCTACCATTTCTTTCCAAACCGGCTATGAGTACATTATAAGTACCGGACACAGGAGAATATCCTTTGCTGCGCATGGTTTTGTAAAACTCAAGTGCCTTGTTAACTCTTCTAACAGAGAAGTAAACACTCATTAAGGCAGTATAGGTGGCAGTGCACTTATGGTTATCAGGTAATAAGTTGAAAATCTTCATGGCAAAACTGTGCCTCCTAGCACAACCAAGCCTAAAGATCAAAAGTGAAGCCAGGTAGATTCCAAGGGAATGCCCGGCTCTAGTCATTTCCTCAACAATGCCCACCAGCTTGGAAAACATATTTGATCTGATCAACAAGCCCATTAAGGAAAGATATCCTGTTTTCTCAATACTTATTCCCATCGTAACACTGTACTTTAAAGCCAACAAAGCACCTTCAGGTCGGCAATGACTACAATTTACCTCAATAATGGTTGAGACAACCTTATGATCTAAAGATATTTTCTTATCCATCATCCCTGTAAGTAAATGGTCAATAGCAACAACATTTCTATTTTTCAAGAGAACACATAGAAGCTCTTTGTCCATATTTGTAGGAGAATCTGCAGCAACCGTGATACCATCACTTGCGTTCTTCCTTATACTACAATCCATGTAAAATTGTGGATTGACTTGCCTTAGAAGGGTATCACTCTCACCAGCAATTTTTAAAGCTTCCAATGCTTCAACAAAAACAGGGTAACGAAGAACAAGACGGTTTTCTTTCATGTACTGAAGGATATGGGTCATGAACAAAGTCTCACCAACTTTAGAACACCTCTCAATCAAAATATTACACGCAGCTTTATCAGGGTGCGCCCCAGCCTCTTGCATTTTTTCAAAAATCTCTAGGGCCTCTTTGCATTTTCCTAAAATACAGAAAAACAAAAATAACCATTATTACCACTTCATAATAAACAAAGACAGTACACGTCAGGAAAGATAGGAAGTAGAAGCAGTTAGAAGTTTCCAAAGGAAACTGTGCTGAAAGTGCACTACATAGAAGCTATCATTCTGATCTGCACAATTTTGCAAACTCAAGCAGTGTCTTTCACTATATAAATGATGCAATCAAAGTAAATACATCATTTAAAATTTTCATTAACACTGAGATCATTTGGTTCTCAATAAGTCCAAAGGGGGAGTCCATTAATGCAAATGTTATTACGCCACTTAAGCTTGTGCTTTCCGCAAGCCGACAGCTCCTCTCAAAATCTAAAGCAAACAATCATGACAAATTCAGCCAGAGTTTAAGTTCATTTAGCCATAAAAAGGTGGCACCATCCAAAAAATACACCAATTTTTATGTTGTCATCCAATCATAGATTATTTAGATTGGTTTTATTTATAATAATTATTTTAAGGTTAAAATACTTTTTTAATCCTTTAATTTGCCTCACTTTACCTTTTTACCTCTATAATTTAAAATAAATATTTTTAGTCCTAATATTTATATTTTTAATTCTTTTTAGTCTCTATATTTTGTTGAACTTATTTTAAATTAGGTCTCTCGATGCTTGTAAGCCTTTTTTATACTCTCACCTATGAGATCTAATATTAAGAATTTTTTTTTTTACTCTAACAAAATTGAAGACCTTTATCATGTTGATACAACAATGACAAAAAAAAAATTAACTATAAAAATTAAAGGAATTAAAAAATTGCAAATATAAAAACTAAAAAGTTTTATTTCAAATTATATGAATTAAAAAGAATTGAAAAAGATAAATATAAGAACTAAAAATATCTATTTTAAATTATAAAAAATAAAAAGAAAAGTGAGGGCTTAAAAAAAATATTTTAACCTAATTTAAAGTCATACCTAAAATGATTTTCGATCAATTGTCATTTTACACTCACGATATATCAAAATTAAACTGAATGACTAACACACACCAAATTATACTTTTATATCATTTTTAGCAACCCCCATTCCTGAATGCCCAGGTAGACCAAACAACAAACAGGTTGAAGGCACACTAACCAGACCCAATCAGATAGTCCATCAAAACGGTGTAAGTGTGGCAATTTGGAGCAACACCAGAGGCAATCATCTCCTTGTAAACACGAGTTGCCTCCTTCACTCTTTGGTTTTCAAACAGAATCTTGATACAAGCAGTGTAGGAAACAACAGTGGGGTAACACCCCTTGGATTTCATTTGGTCCCACATTTGCAAAGCCTCATCCACGTTCCCCGAACTCGAAAGCCAATGCATCATGGAAGTGTAGGTAACGGAATCGACCTTGATACCCTTCTCCTGCATCTGAAGGAAAACATGCTTCATGGAAGAGACTCTCCCAGCTTCTCCGAAAATATCGAGCATGGTGGTGTAAGTGTAGTGGTCGTGCTTGAAGCCTTTGAGCCCAGAGGCCCAGTTGAAGAACAACCAAGCTTTCTCCATTGGAGGGTGGGACTTGAGAACGTGGTTCACCGTGTATGAGTCCCACTTCAATGGGAGATTCTTGAGTTCTGCTTCAGCGGTTTCCCAAGTTGAATACTTTAGCGTGTTGTAGATTTTCCCAATTACGTTTCTCGTGTACTCTCTGGGTTCATCCTTCTTCTTTGAATTCTCGGGTTTCTTTGGGTTTGTGCGAAATGGAGTCATGGGTTTGGGTTTGGTGGAAGGAGAAGGAACAAGGTTTCTGGGAAATCCATGAAGCTTGGAAATTCGGATTCTGCACATCATTAACAATGCAAAACTTTCATGTCAAAGCCATCAATCATTATTAACCATTCTACGTTCCAAACGGCCCATTCATTTTGCGGACTGGGCCCATTATAACCAGGATAATCGTTAGAAAGGTAAAAATGAGTTTTTTATTTTTTTTTTTACAGAAAAAAAGTTAATAAGAGAAAACTTGAAGGTAGTCAATTAAAATAGAGATGAAATCATTTTTAATTCAATTTCAAAACATTTTTACATTAATTTTTTTAGAATTTTATAAAAATTATTTGTAATTATACTTTTGTTACATTCAATAATATTCATTCATGTCTAGATTATTATGAACATTAATACTTTTATCATAATGTTATTATCATCGATACCACCAATATGAATATTATCACATACATCACATCATTATTATAATTGTCACTATCATGATTATCATCACTAATATTTGTACTATTATCTACAATGTTATTATTATTATTATCATTATAATCATTGCAATTATTACTATTGTTATCATCATTATTAACATTATTTTTATTATTGATATTGACATTACTATTGTTAATGCAATTATTGATAAAAAGAGATGACAATGAAGTAAATAATCTTAAAAAATCTAAAATATTAATCATCATATCATTTGGTTAATTATAATATTATTTCTTTAATGATTAATGAAAGAATAATTAGTAGTGAGACAAAATTATAATTTTTATAAATTTAGAGAATTAAGATTGAGAAATTAAAATTAGATGATTCAAATCATGAATTGAATTATAGGAGAATCAAATATGTAAATTAAGCTTAATTTTGATAATATATCAAACTTAAAGAAAATAATTAAAAAACTAGAAGAAGAAACCAAAACTAAAAACAAAAACCTGATCGTAATTTTAAAAATTTAAAACTGAAAATATTTTTTTAATTATAAGTGATTATATAACCATTACATTATTTTTAATTTTTTAGCATTAATATTTTCATGTTTATTAAATGTATAAAAAAAAAGTGGAACATGTAATGTTTTATAATATAGTACCTACTTTTATATAAATTAAAAAATTCTCATTTTAGAGACTCGTTCTCTCAATTAAATATTCTGAATACCCTAACTTCTCGCCTAAAGAGGCGAATTTCAAACTAACCTAGTAGCTAGTAAAAACAATATTATGTTTATTATAAATTTAAAATATAACTAGTTTTAGGCTCAATCCACCAAACAAATCATTTCAATCCAAAAGTAATATAGTCGATCCGTAGTGTTACTTGAAGTATTAATTCGCTTGATAGTTAATAGTGTGTTACTTTAGAATAGATTAATATTGGATTCAGTTTGTTTAAAATTAATATCTATTTATATAAATAGATATTTTTAAATATATAAAGTATATTTTAGATTTAAGATAAATAATTTACATTAGCACAAAATTAATTTTATTTGTAGATAATTCATTTTAAAAAATTAAAATTTAATTCATAAACACATAAAATTGAATTAAGTGTTTAGTGTTAAATCTTGCCAAAATATATGTTTTAATAATGACAAATTCTTAATTTCAAATTTTAATATAAAAGAGCTCTTATGTGAAATACTAATAATTTTATTCAAGTGTTTCAAATTATTTTTCTAAGTAGTCGTCAAAAGTGTTTTTAAGTTGAGCAAGTCAAAAGTTTCACAAGGTATCATTTAATCTACTTAAACTATCATTTAACACTAAGGCCTTGATTGCCCATAAGATGAGCATCAAAAATCTATTTCTGTAAAAAAAATATTTTGTACTCAGATATGAGTTGTAAAGGTGTAGGAAGAAACGAAATAAGTCACAACAATGGTTGTATCATCTAAAAGCATGTGTTTGTGAGGTTGGTTGTTTCAATAGGTTGTTGAGTGTGAAATTGGCTAAGTGTGTGTTATTAACAACTAGGTGATTGTATAGTGGTTTGATTGAACCAACAAGTGACTCAGTTGTTCTTGAACAACAGTTAGTTGTAATAGTAAAAATCTCACAAATTTGTGTAAAGGCGGGATGTAGTCCAATTGGGATGAACTAGTATAAAACCATGTGAAATTTCTCTAACTTGATCTATCTTTTTATTTGTTGCATTTACTTTATTTTATATTTATTGCATAATTTATTGTGGAAACAAGCTTGCTCAAAATCTATTTTCAAAAGAATGTCCTAAGTTTGAAAATTAAAAATTTTACCTTATGAAAAAAAAAATCATATAGAACACGTCAATTCAATCCTCCTTTTTGTTGCATAATATTCTCTTCACTTAGAGAATCTCATAAAAAATAACTCTTAAAAATGTTCTCATACAAGATAGTTATTCACATTTAATATAGAAATTAATTTATATATTAAATATCATTTATTTATTTAAATTTTAATTATAATATAATTTATATACTTTAAATTATTATTTATTATAAATTTTAATTACATGTAATTATTTATCTATATAATGTACACAATAAAATATGAATTATTAGTAATAGTAAAAATAAAACCAAAAACTATTTTTTAAATTAAATTAAAAAGTCTTAATTAATTAACTATACCCTCTTATATTACTTCAAGACAGTACACACTATATTTTGTTAGACAAATATGTCTATTTGTATATAAATAAATTATCATCAACTTAAAAAAAATATCTTTAAAAAATAAAACAAATATGTTACAATCTCCTAAAAGCATAATAAACATGAAATATACATAATTATTAGTCATGGTCTTTATTATAGAACTTAACTAATTCTTTGAAATTTAAAAAATTTAACATCGATAAATATATCTTAAATTTTTAATATTTTTTATATTATCTTCGAGTTATTGAGATACTTAGTATATTTTTAGAATTTAACCAAAAATTATATAAACAAAATTAGAAATTTTAAATGTTTATTTGGTGACAATGAGATTACATTTTCTCACATTTTTTTTGATGATGAGTAAGAATTACAAAAGGCAAGCAATAAACAAAAATAACAATCTCAAGTATAATATCCTCATAGTATCACATACCACTAGAGAAGTTAGCTGAAGTGGAAAGTAATTTTAATGTTAAAAAGAAAACTCATGGCTTCTACCATATTCTTCAAATCAATCGACACGTGAATTAGTTTCACAAAGTGTGTCACAAGACGACACTCAAAGATAATTGTAACAATTTTCTAATTACAATAACTAGAGGAGAATAAAAAATAAATCTATATTATTATGAACTAACTCCAAAGTCATGGTATAGAATCCGTAGCATACAAAATAATATGATAACTTTCCTTCTAAACTTTGTTAAAAGCATGAAAGAAGCAAATAATTTAATTACGGTACTAGTTGAATTTTCACATGAGCTAGAGAAACCAATATAATCCTGGGCCTTATATGATTCTAAACAAATCTCCAAAACTCATCCTTCCTAAGTTATTAAATGAATTGTCATTAATATTGATTTTGATTGCAGAAGGTGCAAATACTTCCCATTTGAGACAACAATTCTGTTGTTGATGACCTTGATGATTAAAAATCTTCTTGATATTTGTTAAAAGAATTTGGATCTAAATAGTAGTTTAAGAGAAATGTAAATTTTTCAAAGTTTTTGCATTTATTTTTATGAATGGAATAAAAAATAAACAAAACAGAGAAAAAAATAGACCATACATTAATTTTTTTTTTTTGGTATATAGACCGGCTCCCCTTCTAGAAATAAGAGAAAGTTTTAATGACTTTATGCATTTTAAGAAAAAAGAATGAGACTATTTATATTCTTAAAATATAAATTCATAATTTTAATTTTTATTGAATTTAATAAGAATATTTTCTAAAAGTAATATTTGGAATATAATAAATTGCATGTGTTTTATAGAAAAGAAATTAAACTAACTTAAAAATTTAGATCTAGTAATAAAGGAGCGAAAGTAGTAATCGATAACAACAACCTGAATCCATTCGGAGCAAAAAGCTTTTGGTGTAGATGATGATGATCGAACATATTACAGACCGTGACAAATACGTCGACAGATAGCTCCCCACAAAAATGTGTGTCCATAATTCCAGAAAGTAAAAGGTGATTGTCCGTTTTCAAATTTATGCAAACATAGAGTGCAACATTCTTCATCAAATTGGAAACCATCGAAATTATTATACAAGGCAATGTCACAATCACTTACCAAACTCTTCACCAGCCATTTTTCTTAGTACACTACACAAATCCCAATTACAACTTTACCACCAATTAATAATACCCAATTTCCATGTAATGCAATAACATCTTTAGATGGAGTAATTTGGCTATAGATAAAAATTATTAGTGTTACTATTCATAATTTAGATTATATTGTTGTTAATGAGGTTTTTTATGATGAACAAAATTTTAGAATACTATAGGATATTGAAGTCTCTTTGTATCTATGCTTATATTTTAGAAATTAACCCATACCCAAATGTATACCTACAAGGATAGCAATTTTATTATTTGTGTTTATTTTTTTAGTAGGTACTAATGTACTTAATTTTTTTTATCCAATTTGATTTTTAATTATGTAGCATAGTTTAACCTTTTTATTTGATATAGCTAGGTCGATCTTTTTTAAGAGTGTTGCCTTGATCAATTTGATTGTTTTAAGTTTAATTTGACAAGAAAAATTTACTTAATTATATAGTAAGTACATAAGATTATAAATAGACTAATAAACCTTCAAATTTAAGTTGACTACTAGGTTAACGAGTAAAAAGTAGATTAGTGATTTTTTTTATATTATATTGTAGAATATTTATAAGCTTAGAATGTTTTTTAAGGCATAAGATATATATGAATTTTTTTTAATTTAAATAAACTCTTAAAAAGGGCTAAGTTCTATTTTAGAATATAATGAGTTAGTAGTAATTTCTTTGTTAGGAACAAAAATACAAAGATAAAATGAATTAATTTTTCTTTAAATTAAAATAAACCTATACAATTTAATTTTTGAATAGAAATTAAATAACAGGTATTTGACAAAAACTAAGTATAAAAATTAAATTTAAGCTAAAAGAAAATTTATAATTTATTTTATCTTCTTATTTTACTTCTTATAAATATTTTTAGGAAAAAAATATTCAAACTTAATCCAAGTTGAACCTTTTTGATAAAAGAGTCACATGAGCCAAACTTTATATACATCAATCAGGCAACAGACCTGTAAGTTTCCACTTATAAGTCCAATTGTCATTGTTAAGTTTGTGGCAACTTATGAACCTCTATATATGACATTGACATTGTTGAACCAACCCATACCACAATCATTAACCACCAACACCGCAAATCTCATCTAATAAGTAAATTTAATTAAGAGTAAATACATAAATATTCTTTGGATTTTCATGAGATTGAACAAACACTTCTTATTTTCTTTACTCCTACAATAACTCTCTTAATTATTTAAAAGATACAATTATGTGACTCTAAATAACTTAAAAAAAGAGGGATGCTGCAAACTCCCAAGATAAACAAATTTATATTCTAATAATGATTTTTTTTACATTATAAATAAATAACACTTGATGAGAGTGAGGGTACTAGTGATACATATAAACCGTAAAATATTTTTAAAATAAGAAGACTAAAGGAGGAATTCTAACAATATAGTAAGGGAAATTACAAATTAAAAAGAAAAACTTTGCCAAAACTATAAAGTTATGCATTAAATAATGGTTCAGTTATCTTTTTAATTTTTATAATTTTATGGATTTTACCTTTTAATTAACTTCTATAATTACAAATATTTTACTTTAATCTCTATAATTGTAAAAAAAATTCATTTTAATCTTTATAAAAATAGATGACGATGACTAAAAGAGAACAGAAATAATATATATAGCAATTGAAATGAAATGTTATCAACTATATCTAGATATTAAAATATAAAGTTTGTAAAATTATTATAAAAAAGAGTAATTAAACCTTGAATAAATGAACATTCACCTATATATCTTGATACAAATTTTTTCTTGTGCTCACTTTCTTATCGATTCACATTTCACATTTCAACGTGATGTCAAAATCCAAATGGCATGAAAATTTGTACCAATAAAAAATGAAAAATAAAAAGAAAACTAAAATCTACTATCTCTATAAGTTGAGAAACACAAACTTAATTAGGTGACAAACAAAACATAGTTAGTACGGCGCTTCACATTCCTTAGCATGATAACCAATTACTATATGTAAAGTTTCTCAATCCATTATGCAAGGCCTTTGACCTCTTTTGTTCTGTCTCACTCCTTAATTGATTATGCGAATTAATCATCTGAGCGCTTTTCCCCCTTCATCGCATTCACTTCCTGTTTTTCCTTTCACCTCTTAATTCATTAATAAAGCTGCAATTCTAAAGAAACAGTAATATAATTGATTGATGTTTTCAAAAATTAGTTACGTAACTTTTAATCGATTGCCTTAAAATTACTGTAATGATCATATACTTTTGTTAATTCTCGTTGGTACTATAATATTTATGCATGTATTCTTCTTTACTAAACAGTCCTTTTATTGTTCACTTATTTCTTTCACCCCATTTCTTTGTCATTTTTCCTTCACCTACATGACTGAAAAAGCAAAATAGCATCGATCATATATTGTTATATGTATAATTTTTTAGTCCTTTTTCCTTTATGAGGGAAAAGCTCTAGCTGTTCCCTCTGAACTCTTGTCCCTTCCAGTGTGATTGCTTTCATCATGTTTTGTCGTTGCAAGATTGAGAGTTTTACTATACTATGGGAAATAGAGAAATTCTTGAGTAAGACTAAGACCAGTGTCACCTGAATTTTTGTGAAAACAATGGACGCCAACGCGTCTATATGTAGACGTGTACACAACAACAATGTAGTCGCAATTTTTACGCTTAGGTGCATGTTACTCGCTGATTATAACATTATTTACTATATAAAAAAGGACATAATAATGACACCACACCTTTGGTTTAACTTTTAAGACCATACTACATATCGAAGAATTTAAAAGTTGTTTTTGTTAATTCCACATCATTTCTGGCATCCAAGTTTATCTATATATGCTGTAAAACAGACTTGTTTTGTCTTTCACCTTTTTTCTCCACTGAAACCTTTCTATCCTTTTCCCGACAGATGTACCAAAACATTTAATTGTTATTTGTTTTAAATCTTAAACAAACTGCACAATATGCAGATTGGAGGAATTGGGGGGGAAAACAATAGTGCACAACTGAAGCAAGAATTAATCGTGCACATATATGTTTGAAACTTGGCATATATACTCCAAGACGATCAAGCTGAGTATGTAATGTATATATGTGAATCATCAAGATTCACGGGTATCATTGTGTTTGATATTCGACCGATCCGTTATGTATGTAGAGTATGACAAGAATAGATTACATTAAATATATGACTTGACAAGTTGGTTGATTGATGGTATGTTAGTTATGGGGTTTGTTTTATTATTGTTTAAATGAACTAAACGACGAGGGGTCCTTGGAGAAGAAAACATTCCCATACAAATGCCATTGACTAGTTGAATTGCATTTTGCAGGTGAAGGCTTAGGGGGCCACCCTAGCTAGGAGGTAGTTTTGGTCTGGTTTTCCCTAGCCAGAAATGACAAGTGATTAGGGCTTTTATTGGCACAGCAGTAGTAGGGAAATGCACAACATTACAGAATCACAGTGTAGATACATTGTGCTGTAGTAGTTTGCATGGTACTCCCATTACATATTTTGCATGCACATCTCATAAATAACAGACATACAAATAGTAGGGATTCAGAATTTGCAGGATGTAGGCCCTTCACCCGACGAAAAGCTAGAAATAATTAATCAATTATAGCTTTCAAATTCTATATCAGCCTGGCAGACTTCCTCACTAACTCGAGAATTGAGTCATTCCTTCATAATGACCAAGGGGTTATACCTAAGAGGCAAATAGAGAGAGAAAGAAAAGCAAAATCAAGCCACACACAGAGAGGACATGGACAGATTTTGCTTATTTTACAACAAGACAAACCCCCACGATCAATTTAATCCAATAAATGGACCTGGACCATGCAAAAAAGATTCCAAATTAAATGTGTTAACATGCATGCAGGCAATTTTATTCTAAGAGGAGATGCTCACTTTGTTTTCTATGTAAGACGCTTCCATATTAGTATATGATATTCTATATGTCATGGCTTAGTTAAAAAACCATATATTATATATTTGTTTATGAGTTATTGGGAATGAGAATAGTGGTATATATAAAAGAATGGAGATGTGTAAGGTGGTGAAAAAATGAAAGAGGAAGAGAAAATGGATCCGTACATAGAGTAGGGAAGAGGGTATGTGCATGGACAGCATATTAGACAAAGAAAAGGTTAAGCAGTGTGCAGAGAGGGAGAGAGGGGCAGTTCGGATTGAGAATTAGTGTGAAAGGCACGAGACGTGAAGGGAACAATAAATGAGAGGGGGGAAAAGAGAAGGGGTGATGAGGCTCATGATAACCCTCATGATCGTCACGTCGTTTTTCAATCGCTACTCCCAAAAATCTCCCAGAATTCCACGCTTCTTCCTCACTGACTCCCTTCTTTGCTTTTCTTTTTTGCCTTTGTCCTCTCTCCCACTTTCTCTCTCTAAATAGCCTAGTCAACCTCATGTCCCCCTCACTTTGTCCCATATTAAGCCAACACTCTCTCCCATCCCATATCTATACTAGAAGAGTAGAGAGAGAGTGATCAATCCCCATCTCTGAATGTCTCAGACACAAAATACTTCACACTAGTTTCACCCTTCAACTAACTACTCACTTTCAACAATGGCCCTCACCTTCACCTCTTTCCCACCTTCAACCTATGCCATATATAACCCTTCTCTACTTTTCATTTCATCTAGCTAGGTCTTACCATTTTCTGGGCCACCTTCACATCACTCACTACCTAATACCTTGCATGTTCTACACTACTCAACACACCCTTTTTTGTTTCCTCAACTTCAACTACATTCTCCCACTCCACTCCTCCATTTCAATTTCCATTACCCTTGTCACAACCATAAAGCACCCCCACTTTTCCTTTCCACTCCCCCTAATTATTACACTTCATTGTTCTTGACTACTATATATAGCTACTACCTTCATTCTCCTATTTATAAACCTTTTTACCATCTAGCACCACCACAAACCCTAGCTTTTGGTTTTTAATAAGACTGCAGCAATGTGGATGGTTGGATACAATGAAGGGGGAGACTTCAACATGGCTGACTATGCATTCAATGGAAGGAAACTGAGGCCCCTCATGCCAAGGCCAGTGACTTCTCCCAACAACACTTCAACCACAAACTCTCCATGCTTGAGCCGCATTCATCATGGCAACGATTTCTTTTCACAATATCACAATCTGGGTACGCTAGCTAGCTGTTTTTGTTTTACTCCCCAAAAAAAGACCTTTTTTCTTTACCCTCTCTCTATAGTTGTGTTTGCATGTGGTTGTTGTCGTATGTATGCATGTGACACATGGTGTGTAAGTGTATATGTATAAAGAGTTTCTTGTTTTATTAGCATCAGTGGCAGGTCAGGGGAAGAGAGAGTTCAACCCTCCACCAGTAGTGGTGAGTTCAAGGTGGAATCCAACCCCGGAGCAGCTGAGAGCATTGGAGGAGTTGTATAGAAGAGGGACAAGAACACCATCTGCGGAGCAAATCCAGCAAATCACGGCACAGCTTAGAAGGTTTGGGAAAATTGAAGGGAAGAATGTTTTCTATTGGTTTCAGAATCACAAAGCGAGAGAAAGACAGAAACGGCGCCGTCAAATGGAGTCAGCAGCTGAGGGACATCACACCCGTGACTTTGATAGTACTCTTGAAAAGAAAGACTTAGGTAAAACCACGCAACATAATTACCTCCATACTTGTTTCTTTGCACACAAGAGACAAATAATAAGAGGCTCTCACAATGCATGGCTGATGGCTTCTTTTGTTGTTGTTGTTGTTTTTTTTTTTTTTCATTTTTTCCAATTGAGTTTTGTTTGTTATTATGTGTGTTGTTGCTCTTCTTCTCTCATTCGGATTGTTGCTTGAGATATAAAGTTATATTCTTTTTTGTTTTTCTTTTTGTCTACAGGCGCAAGTAGGACAGTGTTTGAAGTTGAACAGACCAAGAACTGGGCACCCTCTACAAACTGCAGTACTCTTGCAGAGGTCTATTATTCTACATCCTCCTTTGTCTTTGTCCTTCTTCATGGTCTAACCCTTTTTCTCTATTTCTCAACTTTGGGATTTTCAGTACTTAATCACCAAAAGTCTTTAGGGAATTATAAGGGTCCATTAAGCAGTGATTAAAAAATTATTTGCATATGATTACTAGAGAATGATGTTATAGAAAGATATGCACTAGCTGGCTAGGGAAAGGACCCTAACAAAAGCTTTGTTTGTTGGGAAATGAAAAGGGCCTAAAAGCTGCATTCCTTCCTTTCTGTCGGGGCTGCTGTTATGAAACTTAGCTGGGCTTTTGGGGCTTGTGCTTATTCATGTCATTTAGGCCAGTAGCTTTTGGACACTCCATACAATATTCTATAGAATTGAGCACCCATATTGATGATGGAAAAGACAACTCTCACCCTACTTTAATTTGACTTCTCATAGACCATGCAACTTTATTTGAAATACCAACTAGGAGTAGTGCATGCCATTTGAAATCTGTGCAACTTTTTTACCTGTTAGCTGTGCTCTTTGGTTTTTTTACCACACATGTTGAGGTTTTCACGAGTTTGCATTGCACTGCATGCCTATTTTAAAAATCCTCAGGAATCTGTTTCAATACGAAGGGCAGCAAAAGCAGCGGTTGCAGAGTGTAGAACAGATGGATGGCTCCAATTCGATGAAGGAGAGTTACAACAAAGGAAAAACTTTATGGAGCGGAATGCCACATGGCATATGATGCAGCTATCTTGTCCTGCTCCTCCTACAGTTTCACCCCACCTCTTAAACACACCTCCTATTACCTCTACAACTAGCATGGCTACTACAACCACAGTAACAGCAAGAGTAATGGACCCAAAGCTCATTAAAGCCCATGATCTCAGCTTCTTTATTTCACCTAACAGAGAAAACGGTATTATCCACTTAAGCAGTATCAGCACCCAGGATGATAATAATTTTGTGGAATCTCAAACCCTTCAACTTTTCCCCATAAGGAATGGAGATGAAAGCAGTGATGATAACATTAACCAGCAAAAAGAGACAGATGTATCAGCTTCAGCAATGAATGCGCCCAGCCAGTTTTTTGAGTTCCTTCCATTGAAGAACTGACTTGAAACGTAGAAAACAAAAACTTGCTGTGTATGTAAAATGATGGGACTGCGTTTAGATATTGTATTTTGTTTCAAAATAGCACTATTTTTAATGTTATTGATGTTATGTTTCAAGAATTTGGTGCTGTAATGGTACACTGAATTTGAATGAGGTATTTTGCCTTAAAATGCATTTGGACTATGTTGGTTGAATCAAAATCACAGTATTTAAGTCTAAGGGGTTTAGTGTTCCATAGGCCTTGTTTGAGTAACTTGATATATATGTATACATGCTGCTTCTGATGTGAAGAGAGAAAAATTGAAAGAGAGTTGGGGAGGGAGGGAGAACGTAAATAGAGAATGTATAAGGAATTTGATGTGAGGGTTTGATTTGAGACATAGTATCTGAAATGGGAATAAGATGTGACAGACTAGGATGTTGAAGTAACTATGAGCATGGGTTGGAGAATTATTTTGTTCTTTTGTTGCATACCTGGAAAAAAAAATGCTGTACATTACAATCAATGTTCTGATGGTGTGAACACTGTCGTCCAATTTATGACAATAAAGAAATCACATCAATGCACCAAGACGGAACAGAGCGGTCGCATTTAAAGTAACGTTCATGAATTCAATTCAAAGATTTCTTGCTTAATAAATAATCCTGTTATAGTCAGAATAGAATTTGAGTTTTACGAAGAGAATATCCATCCATCACCCTTCAACAACGACAATATATTGAGTGCAAGAATTTGACTTGTGAGGATATTTTCTAGTTATTATATATATATTCCTGATTTGATTGAATTAACTTGTCTATATTTGCAAAACCTCTGCTAAGGCTAACCATTTTAAGGTGAAATTCTGAAACATTTTTAACACAAGAGACTAACACACCGGCCACCACATATTTTTTGGTTTTATTTATTTAAAAATAGAAAATAAAGAGTTCCTGTAATATTTAATATTATTATAAGAACAACAAAGAAAAGTTCAATAGATATATATATAAATATCAAATAAAGTCGTGATCCGTGTTTCAATTTGATCACCAATTTGTATGGCTAAAAAAAACCTGTCACATTTACCTAGCTCCTTGGAGAAGCTAGCTGTATCTTAAAGGTAGCTAGGGTTTATTACATTAGGGTATGATCCAGCTTTTCAAAAATCTTAAGGGCTAAGACTAGGACGTGTCACTCAAGAGGCGTCAAGCATCACCAGGGTAAAAAGATGGCCAAAATATTCCCTCTGCAGCCATTGAAGCCGTGAGTGGGGGACCATATAATTTAAACAACATTATGCATGCACGAGAAGTTTCAATAGTTTGGACCATATATATTTGCATGTTTCGTTTTTCTAGGGTAGGGACTAATAATGAAACACTGAACCATTTGTTATATATTGCTAATTGATAGATGTATAGATTTATCCATCATAATAACATTAGAAAAATAAAATTGTGAAGGGTCGAAATTAAGCATGTTATGCATATGTGAGCAATGGTATGGCATGGCTACATAAAACAATGGAATCCTTTTGTGGTTTTTTGCTGAGCTTTTTAAAGTAAAAATCAAATTTTAAAGTGATGGAAGATTTGATCCTCATTGAAAGGAGCGGTGAGTTTTGTTGGTATTGATTTGATTCAGCAATGAGCAAGTTGGGAAGTGATGGAGAGGGAAATGCATTGCAGATCAGTGATTGGTAAAGAAAGTCAGAAAGAGTGTGAATTGAA